ATTTTTTGATTTATTGTAGAGATGAGGTCTAGCCAAGTTGCCCAGGTGGGTCTCGAACCCATGGGCTCAGGCAATCCACTCACCTCAGCCTCCCAAAGCACGGGATTACAGGCTGAGCCACCGAGCCCAGCTTACCTGTTTCTTTGGAGTAAGTAAAATGTAGAAAACAAGTATCCCCTCAATATCCTGTACTCCTTCTATCCATTTACCTGCACCCAATTCTATCCTTTATTTTCTGCCATTGCCACAATGGAAGAAGAGGGTCACAGGCTCTGGATTTTGCCTCTCGTGGAACTTCATTCCATTCCTTGATTTCTCATTTGTCTTTTAACTTCTTCCTTTTGCTGACTATTGTCAAATTGTCAATTCTGTCTTAAAACACATTCACAGGTCATCACCATCAAAACCATTTGGAAAAAAAAAATCCTTTATTCCATTTCATCTCTAGTGGCTATCACGCCTCATCCTGTCCTTCACATCCAAGCTTTTTGAATAGCAGATTGCTATTGTCCTACTATACTAGCAAAGACATGTCCAAATTAAAGACAGATAAAATCCTTTCTGGGGTAGCTCCCCTTTCTGATATCCTGTCCTTTTCTAAAGTTGTTTTAAGAAGAAAAAGAGGGCTGGGTATGGTGCTTCATACTTGCAATCCCAACACTTTGGGAGCCTGAGGTAGGAGAATTGCTTGACCTCAGAAGTTCAAGACCAGCCTGGGTAACATAGTAAAAAACTTCATCTCTACAAAAAAAAAATTAAAATTAAAATTAACCGAGTGTGTGGGCACATTACTACAGTCCCAGGTACTCGGGAGGCTGAGGTGGGAGGATTGCTTGAATCAAGGAGGTAGAGGCTGTGATGAGCCAGGATCACGTCACTGTACTCCAACCTGGGTAACAGAGCGAGACTCTGACTCACCAAAAAAAGGGAGGGGGGAAGAGGGGGAAGGAGGAAGGAAGGAGGGAAGGAAGGAAGGAAGGAAGGAAGTTGAAAAGGAAAGGAAGAAAAAGGATTCTTCCACTGGATGTTTCAACATCACCACAAATTCAGCTTATATTGAAACCATTATCTCGTCATGAAATCTGAATTTAAAAGTAATGACCTGGCCATTCTATATATAAGAACAAGATCTCACTTGAGGTTGTAGGTTTTGAACTCTGGAGACAAGGGAGTTCTGTAATAGGAAATGAGATGGTGCCCCACTGCTTGGAGACTCCCAGATTTGAGACAGAAACCACAGAACATCCTGCAAAGCTGTGTGTCATGTGGAGAAGAGTGTAAGGGGACAGTGAAGAAAGAGGGCTTTGGGTCAATTTGAGGATTCTGAGCTTTCATCAGAGAACAGTGTGTCACTGGGGCCAGGAGGGTGGTTCAAATACAATCCCTGTGGGATGATGACAGGGCAGAGAGTAGTAAGAGCCACTATTCAACAGCTGTCATACCTAGAGTTTTCCTAGACAGTCCTCAAGCCTGGAGGTTTAGTGGTTTATTTTCATGGAAGAGCTGCTTACTTTACCAAGGAGTTCCTTCACTGGACACCCCCTATCCCCTAGACACCCACACTTGAAACCCAGGAGTCATCTACTCAAACTGTCATCTAGCATGTCTTTATGTGAAATAAATACAAGAAAGAAAATGGTGCTATTCTCAAGAACAGTACAGTCCAATAGAACTGTCTGTGATGAAGGCAGTGTTCTAGATTTGTGCTGCCCAATATGGTAACTAATGAGCACTTGAAATGTAGCTAGTGTAGAACAAAATTTTAGCTTGATTTAATTTTTGCTCATTTTAATTTAAACAGCCACATATAGCTAATGTCCACTATATTGGTCAGTGCAGCTCTAGAGCTTTAGACGTTGTGGAATTTGGGACATAAAAAGCACAGAAACCCCTTTTGGGTTCGTGGGACAAAATATCTGAGTCATATATTTCAAGTTTGGGTGCCAATCATGTTTTTAGACTTTTCATCAAGAGATGCCCATTCACCCTGTGCTCTCTTCTGCAGTTACAAGGGTCAGTGTCCCCCACCTGTCATCACCTGCTTGAACCTATACCTGCATTCTCTCCACCTTGACTGTCCTCTGTTTTCCTGTCCACCTGTCTATATCCTGCCTGTCTCTCTCAGTTTGTTTGCCATCCTACCTCAAGGAGTTTTTTATGTGGAAGTGAGATGACTAGGCCTGGGGGCTTGCTGTCCAGGTTAGTTGATGTATATAGAACGTTCACTTAGCCTTGCCCTAATTTCCTGAGAAATATAAGTCCATCACAGATTCTGGCTTGAAATAATAATAATAATGGTAGTAGTAATAATAATAGTGGGGAAAATGCTGACATGGTCATCCCACCAGTGAATTAATTGTAATAATCCTAAGTGATAGATGCTATAGCTTTGGCGCATTCTGTGAAGCTGAGAATAATACTGCCACCCAGAAAATGATAGTAGCACAAACCAGAATTTTCCTGTCTACCCCGCTTGAACACTCCTGAAGCTCAAGGGCTTCAACAAGATCCTTAGAAGAAGGGACAGTGCTGTTTTGAGCATTAATGAGTCTCTACCTTTCAGAAGCCTGCCTGCCTATGTCTAGTAGGGACAGCAGGTTCCTTGCCCTTGAGCTTGGGCCACTCTCCTTAGTCTGGGACAGAATCCACTAGAGCTGAATGTCCTAGATCCCTGATGGCCTTTCTAGTAGGCTCTACCTACTGTAGGGACCTCTGCACTCATGTGAGCGGCCCTCCTGCCTCTGGGGCATTTTGCTCCACTCTAGGGTGGATGGCAGGGGCAGTGACACCGGGACAGCCAGAGAGCAGTAGTGACTGAGAATGACCAAGAAGAGGAATACCTGTGAGTACGGGCATCATGGTGCAGCAGGTGCAGCTCATTGGTGCTGCAGGAGGGAATAAAGGCCACAGCTGGTCCCAAGTTTCTCGCAGTTTTCACAGCCCATGGAAGGAGGGCGTACGAGGTTCCAGTGTGCAGAGGCCATGGGTCCCCTGGCAGGGCCTGGTGTGTTGCTGTTGCTTCTCATGAACCTTTCCCAAAGCCCAGGTGAGCCCAGACCCAGAGGCTGAGAGTCCTGGGGAGGGATGACTTCCTTATTTCTTGCTTGAGAATGTTCTGATGTTGTAGCCACACACCTGACACTTTTGAGAAGTAAGGGTGG